GCGCCCCCTTCCTCCCTCCCTCTCGCCCCCCCCCCTTTTTTTTTCTCTCTCTCACTAGCATACAAAATTTTAATTTTTGCTCTGGCAAAATTAAAAACTACATAAAGTTGAGCTATAAATACCGATAAGCTTATATTCCAGAGTAAGCAGAGTAAACAAAATACTTCCTACAAAAATGCCTTACAAACTCAGAAGTGCTAGAGAAATGGGTTACCACAAACTTGTAAGCTATTGTTCCACAATGACAATATGTAAAAGAATTATTTCAATCCTGGGTATACCAAACAATCACTCGAGGACTTTTTTTCAGGGAATTTCCCCAATATACTGGTGGAATTTGCCTTCTACAATAGCTCAGTATTTACTGAGAGAATGAATGAGTGTGCAGGACAGTGTGGAGCGGGTGAGATGCAGGGTGCTGCCTTCGAGATAGCCTCTTTCAGCCAGAGAGGCTGGGGCGTAGGGAGGAGGAGCAGTGGCAGGTAATTTGCTTCTAGGTAAGTTGCAGTTTGAGCAGTTGCAGTAACCCCAAAGGACATGAACACTAACAGACCATGTGCAAAAGTCAACACTAAGTTCTTCCCCCCAAAATATTAACTTTATTAGTCTTTAGTACCAAGACTTTATCCCAAGTTGAAGAGGCTACTCCTACTTCTAATCTATGGCTGGTAACCCTGCCTCGAGGGTAAATGGCAGCCTCCTAATCCTGGAGTTTTTTAAAGGATTTTCTTTCTTTGAAAGCTGATATGATTGGTCCCTCTCTGGATATGGACCAGAGGAGGCTCTGGGCATAACCCAGGGCGACCTCTGCCTGGGACAGGACCAATGCCCCTTGGGCTACAGAGTAATGCTTCCTAGCCCAGACCGAACATCAGGAGCACCTAAGGGGCTTTAGAAAAATTCGGTAGACTCTGCAGGAGGGTCTGTTTGTGTTTGAAAAATCTTCCAGGATGATACAGAGCCAGTGTTGAGAAAATCACCGCAGAACCAGGCAAGGACTTGCTCCACACCAGATGACACTGACTGCTTTTACAGCACCCTGTTCCCTTGTCACCTAGTTTATACAAGGCCTGATTTTTCAGTTCATCCCTCATGGCCTGAAGTGTTGAAGTATTAAAATGCAGATCTGTGGCTCAGGTGCTTATTGAAGGTCCAGTCCATCTTGTGCTATTACAACAGAATACCCAAGACTGGGCCATTTGTAAGAAACAGAAATGTATTTCCCACAGTTCTGGAGGGGAGACGGTCAATGATCAAGGGGCTTGCGCTGGTGAGGGCCGCCTTCCAATGTCCTCCACGTCCGAGAGCAGAAGAGCAGAAGAGTGTGTGCACGACTGAGGCAGAGCGAGAGAGAAGGAAGGGAAAGGAAGAGGACAACACTCGTCCTTCGTCGGAAATCCGTATTTGCAAGGACGACCCCACTCCTGCAATCTTGGCATTAATCCAGTCATCAGGGCAGAGTCCTTGTGACCTCATCCCCTCCTAATGGTCCTACCTCTCAACACCATTGCAACGGGGATTAAGTGTCAACACGTCAAACCGCAGCATGTGGTCAGCTGACTGGGTTCCCCTGTTTGACAAGTGAGGAAACGGAGGCTTAGGAAGGAATTGTAGATGAACCGCATAGTCTAGAAGTTGCAGAGTCATGACCAGCACCCAGTTCTGCTTAAAATCAAAGTTTCTGTTCAGCCAAATCCCCTCTATAATGCAATTTGATTGCTATGATGGCGAACTTCATGGAAGATTTTATATATGTTTATATATACACATGTATATATATGTATATATTTTGTATGTATGTATATATATGGTATATATATAAATATATATGTTTATATATGCATGTATATATGTGTGTGGAGGGTAGATATATATACATATATATGTATATAAACACACATATATGTGTATCTGTATATATATATATTTTGTTTCAATGGTAGATTATATACATGTATGTGTATATGTACAAACAAAATCCAATGAAGTTCAGAATATTATTAATATGAAGCTTAACAGTTGTGTAACTTCTAGCCTGAGTAGAAAACAGATGTTGTGTTCATGAGTTACTGAGCAGAGTTAAATAGATTATTTACACGGTCATGGACAGAGTTTTTAAAAGTATCAAGAAATGATCCAGTAGTAACTGCTGGGGGAGAGGGAACATCTACTGAAACCTAGACAGAGACAGAGCTGCAGGGAAAGGGCCTGGGGACAGGAGTCTCTTTGGTAGAGGGACCTGGAGAATAAATAACCAGCCCATCCCTCCCTCACTGTTCTGCCCTCTGATTCCCACGAGACTCCTCCATGGACTCTGACCCAGTAGACAGGGGAAGCGGTACCCTGGAAGGTAAACGGGTGCTACTCAGAAAACCTGTTATCTTAAAGTGCATCCGTAGGCATTTGGGCTGAAAGATGAAAAGTACTGAGACGGGACAGTGGCACAGCAGTGAAATGGCAAGCTCTGGGACACAGGCCCATATGAGAAGTTTGCCGGTTCAGGTCCAGAGACCTCCCAGAGTACGCCAAGCACATGTCCACGATCCAGGCTGGCTGAAGCCGGGGTAGATCGTGGGTTATCTTATTTGACCTTTACAACACCCCTCAAGGCACACCTTATTTACCGGAGACGTGAAAATGGAGTACCGTGCTCAAGGTGTGTGGCTAGTACCTGGCCAAGCTCAGTCTCTAACTTCAAAACCTGTGTCTTCTTAAAGCACCAAAAATTAACTAAACTGAATACGACTAAGCAAATTATTTTATCTGGAAAGACCAAGAAGTGTGGGAAGAAAATATACTCAATATTTTTAAGATACATCAATTTTTTATAACATGATCATTCAAATTATTATGTCTTCTCTCAATTTTCTCTTTACAAGGAACTATTCCACATCAGGAGTGTGCTCAGAAAAGTTAAAAATTCGCTTATCTTCAAGGATCATTCAGACTCACCTAACGTGCTGATTTTTGCATCTCCTCTGGGGTGGAGGGAGAGGGGGAGGGACCAGGCCACACTGACAGAGGCTGTGTTTCCACACAAACCCAGGCTCAGCTTCTGAATCTGGGATTGAAGGGAACAGACGGCACGATGTGAGCACCGCGTGATTCAGACCCCACCAGGCGGCCTGACACCCAAGTCTCAGCAGCTGGAGCTCCTGAGCCAGCACGTTCCTAGCCCGCGCCCTGTAACCCGCCCTGCTTCTAACCTGTGCCCTGTAACCCGCCCCGCCCCTAATCTGCGCCCTGTAACCCACCCTGCTCCTAGCCTGCACCCTGTAACCCACCCTACTCCTAGCCTGCGCCCTGTAACCCACCCTACTCCTAGCCTGCACCCTGAAACCCGCCCTGCTCCTAGCCTGCACCCTGGAACCCGCCCTGCTCCTTGCCTGGCCCCCTTTAATCCACTAGCCCTATTTGGGCGGCGGGTGGATGCGTGCTTTCCACGTATGGAGCACAGCAGGGGCACGAGGAAGGGGAGAGAGGAGGCAAGATCCGTCTGAGAAAGGCATTCTCCTTGGGGCCCTGCGTTGGCTGAGGCAATCTGGCAGGCAGACAGGCAGAGATTTGTGACTATATACGCACAATTACAGCCACCGGCGAGGGCCAGGCTGTGGCTCTCCCCTCTCCCAGTCATCCCAAACTGCAGTGCCGTGCCCTCTGGGTTAATGCGACACTGCTTCCGGCTAATCTAATACCCGCTGTGTTCTTATTACACGGCTCACGTGCCTTACGTCCTCTGCCATACTATGTATAGCGTTTGGCATAAAGTACGACGTTGAGGTTGAGCTGGTTAGGGGGAAACTATGGGTGCTTAGGGAAAGGGCGGAGATGGGTACAAGCAAAGGCTTAATGGTCGCCCAGCTGGACTCCCATGTAATCGACAGCGGTTTGAATCCTGAAACCAGCGGCTTAAAATTCACACCAGGCACGTGGGTACCCAAAGAAGAGAATGGAGGAGGACTGCGCGCGGCCATCTCCCTCTCCCTCAAGGGGCGATTTCTCGCTTTCTGTCTCCCCAGCAAGCACAGGAGCTCTATAGCAAAAATCTCTGTTAAAAACACAACGGCAGAGATAGGGAGAGAGGGTCTGAGACAGGGATCAGGTCTCACCTCACAGCTTTTTCCCGAAATGATTGCTCATCAGACAGCTCACATTTCCTGGTTTTCTCCTTCTGGTAAAATGCACCTCTCCTCCAGAACCTGCGCAGGGGAGCCTCATCGTCCCCACCTGTGGGACTTCCTCCAGGCTGCTCTCTGCTGTGCTCCTCCGCCAGGCCAATGTTCCCCCAGGCCCCTGCCCCTCTGTTTTCCTACCCTGGGGGAAAATATTCATTGTGAATATATAGAATAATACACAAAAGCAAATACAAAATGGGGAATAACTGCTTAGGAGTTGTTTTCATTATGTTTATTATTCCTTTTTGTGATTATTACTGTATTGGAGAAAAGCAGAATATACAACTTTATGTTTAAGCAAAGGCTTTTGAGCTTATATAACCTAAGAATTGGAGTCGGGGGATTTGGAGACTGGATTTGTGACTATTATAGAAGAGGAAGTTAGATTCATGGCTTTAAGGATTTCTTTAGTCCTAGAACCCTCTCCACCCTTCCCTTTTACAATTCCTAAGTGAACTAAATAAAGATCATTTGAAATCTGTCTCTAGATGATTAGAAGTGGTAGGGCCCAACAAACACAGAGCTAGTGAGGCCGTTGGTAAGCAGGCTGAAGGAGGTTTTATGGGCTCACTGGCTGTGGCGGTTAAGTACACATTATGGTCCACATAGTGGGGGCAGAGCAATCCATCAATGATTAGAAGTGTTGGTCTGGGGGAAGTCTGGGTTCAAATCCCACTGCTGTGGGGCACTGGGCTATTTATCTTAGCCACACCTCAGTAATGCAGAGATAATATTGTCAGTCACTGCATTGTTATTTTACTAAAATAAAATGATATAATGCATGTAAAGCACCTAGCCCTGGATCTGGTATATGGCGAACATTCAAAACACATGAGCTGATACTCATATAACTATGTCCATTAACAGCTTGACTTGGTTTCCACCACGCATAGTGCAGAAACTTACTGCCCAATACATCTTTTGATGCCTTCGATCTACAGGAAGATGCCTGTAATCAAACTAAGGTTTGAGCTTATTTGCTTATTGCAACAAAAGAGAACATACCTTTGGGAACCATGAAACATCTTAAAAAAAGGATAGAAAAAAGCCTACTTTGGGGGGCCAGCAGGTGGCACTGTGCTTAAGACACTGGACTCCCACATGACTGACAGCAATTTTTTTTAAGAATTATCTTTTATTTTAAATTTTATTTACACTTAATCACATGTCTTTACAGTATAATTTTTCCAACACAAATACCATGCTCATCAATCAAGACAAAAATAATACTATATACATTATCATCAGCAAATAGCTTCTCACTTTTTGTCAATTAAGCATACTTTTACCAGTTTTTTCCTTCCCCTTACCCCTCCCTCCCTTATATACTAAACGTTTATTTTCACGTTTTATTGATTCACAAAAGATCTTAAAGTATGGATAAAGCTAGAATCTAGTGACAAGTGCACTGTAATTTTCTTCTGAAACATTTTTTTCTCTCTCTCCATTCCCTCTTTTGCAAAAAAAAAAAAAAGTTAACTTCAATTTGATCTGTTTTTTTGTTTTTTGTTTTTCACAACTCCACAAAAGAATTCAATTTCTGATGCAAGGCAACAGATACTATTGTATTATTGAACTTATCCAAATAACCATTCTGCCACAAAATAAGAATGCTCATAAATATTTTCCCATTGCAAAGGGGTCAGGAAGGGAAAAATAAAGTTTGTTTCAGTGTTTAAATTTCTTTTTATTTTCAACAAATTGCTGAACCTATCAACTCAAAAGAAAAAAATCCTTAAATCTAGAGGATAAAGCATAGGAAAAAGATCAATAATGTTTTAGAAATAAGCCATAGAATTCTATTTCATCAGTTCAGTCTCTTGTAATCTCTCTTTTGTTGAATTTTCAGTGTCACTATGGTCTGACCTTTCCATTAACATTCAACATTATTATTGCTATTTCAGAATTTGTCCTTACCATTAAGTTGGCCTTTTTCTTGGTTATTTTTTTGTTATCTTATTTGTCTGTCTGTCTTTAGTTTTCTTAGTATAGTACCCCTTCAGAACTTCTCAAGGAGCTGGTCTGGTGTTGGTAAATTCTTTCAGGTTTTGTTTATCTGAGAATATTTTTATCTTTTCTTCCCTTATGAAGGATAATCTTGCCAAATATAGTATTTTTGGTTGAAATTATTTTTCACATAACACTTTGAATATATTTTCCCATTCTTTTCTTGCTTGCATTGTTTCCAATGAGAGGCCCGATGTTAGCCTGATGGAATAACCTTTGAGTGTAACTTGACATTTTTCTCTTGCCAATTTTAGTATCTTGTCTCTATAGTTTTGGTCAATCTGGCTGATATGCCTTAGAGAAGATCTTCTTGTGTGGATTCTATGAGGGGGTCCCCTGTATTTCTTGGATCTGGATATTTGAGTGCCTCTCTAGGTTTGGAAAGTTTCTTCCAGGATTTCATGGAATAGATTATCAATGCCCTGATTAGTTTCTTCACCTTCTGGGATAACGATGATCCAGATGTTTGGACATTTAATGATATCAAGTATTACTTGTATGTTTGGTGAATTTTTCTTGGTCAGAGGTTCTGTCTTCTACATCTTAGATTTGATCTTCTGAATGATCTAATCTGCTTTTAATACTTTCAAGGGAGGTTTTGATTTCCTGTATTACAGTCTTCATCTCTAACTATTTATGGTGTATATTTCCTCTTTCAGATTGTGTAAGAACTTCCTCACCTCCTGGAACTTGTCTCTTTTCTCCTGCATTTCCTGGATTTTGTTGTCTCTCTTTTCTTGCATCTCTGTTAGCTTTGTCACAATGAATATCCTAAATTCTTTATCTGACATTTCCACAAACTCCATTGTACTGTCTGTGGATAATGAAGTGCTGTTCTTTCTCCTTAGGGGAGAGATATTTTCTTTATTTCCCATATTTCATGTGCCTCTGCTGTGGTTTCTGGTCATCTGATGGATTATACTCCTTCTTGGAGTTAATTCTGAGTGTTAGAGGCATGAGGAAAGAGATCACCTACAATATTTCTGCAGTTCTGTTTCCCTGATCCTCAGCGATCAACCTGCACATTTGTCGATGAAACTGGCCTCACAGTTTCAACTAAGAATTCAGTGGTGTGTGGGAGATGAGTAGTACTCACTGCAGCTCCGTATCTCCGTATTTCTCCCAGCTGCTGACTTTACAGTCTCTCTTCTCTGATTGCAACATCTTTTATGGTATATTCACATTTAGCTAATTCACATTTGGCTAACTTCAGCTACTGTAAGCTCATATGCTTGACTTTACTGTGAGGTACTTTTATGCTTATTTCTCCTCTACTACTGTGTTTTGCAACATGGTATCAACAGAATGAAATTTGAATTTACATTTATAAATATGAGTTTCTCCCTTTCTGTAGCAGTTCAGTGGGGGGTTGAGGTTTTTATGACCCTAAAAGTATTCAGATGTTTCCCTACTGTGCACCTAGACCTGCCTAGACACTCAATGTGTGGAAGGTGAGAAGCAAGGTGAGATAGTCAGGTACAAAGAAAACAAAGGGAAAAAGACAAGACAAAACAATGAAAAGGGAAAAGATTTTTTTTAAAAAAGGCAAAATAATGAGAACCGCACAGTGGGTGTGCTAGCGCACCAGGCAAAAGGGGCAGGGCTAGGCCCACCTCAGATGCACATGGATTCTGAAATTAGCAAGAGAAAGGAGAAGTCAGAGACAAGAGACAGTTCCTACAGATTTTTTTAAAAATATATATATATATATGAAAGAGAAATTTTTTGAGAGAAATGGAGAAGGAGATACAGAGACAGAGACAGAAAGTAGACAGAGACCATCCTACCTGGCTTTTTGCTGGGTGTTGGGCCGGAAGGAGAGGTTACTACTAACTGCAGTTTGAATCCCAAATTTGGCAACTTGAAAAATCACACTGGGCACGTGTGTGTGCGCACGCCCAAAATCCCGAGAGGAGAATGGAGGAGAAGGGATTGCAATGTGGCCATCTCCCCCATGTTCCCTCTCACTGACTCTTTCTGTCTCTCTCCAGCACAGCAAAAACCTAAAAATAAATAAATAAATAAAACCCTACTCTAAGAGTTGGGCATGTGTTAGGTGAGTCCAGGAAGGCTTTAAGGAAGCAGAGCTTTGTTCTGAATTGGACACAGTCAGAAGGCCGGATGATCTCTGATCGGGCATATTAAAATTATATATGAAGAAAGTTAAGAGAAATCTCATTTAAATGAACTTGTTAAGCAGATATGAAAGTTACCTTTGCTGTGTAACAAATGATCACCAAACTTAGCAGTGAAATGAAACGAAAGAGGCAGATGAACAGGAATGTCCTGCTCCACGCCTTTCTGGATCAGTGTTTGTGTGAGGATGAGCTGTCCCTGCTGTGGCATAAGAGAAAGGATAGGGGCCAACTCAAAGCCCTGGCATTGCTGAGCCCTGGGCCACAGTCAGCAGTCACCACTGTCTGAACTCCTTGTGATGTAAGATTGTTTTTTTAAGTACTTATTTTAGGGTATCCTAGTTCTTGAATGAAAACAGATGTTTAGCTAGCAGACAGAATTTCCCTAAGGTAAACTTGACCAGCTTTAGGATTTGTATAAGCAATAACCTAGACTGTAAGCTGTTTCTCTTGGCTGCGACTCTGGCCAGGCGTGGCACAACGTGGCTGCCTGAGCACTGTGCGTATTCCCATCTCATCCTCACAGAATCCCTGTGTAGTGTTAACACGTCGCCTCTTTACAGACGTTTAAACTGAGACCTAGATAGGATCAGTAATTCCTCTGGCCAGCTGCTAAGTACCAGAGGCAGGATACCAACTTACATGGGTCAGATTCCCTCGTTACCAACCTTTATTTTATTCTCTGACAACAAAGATGGCGTCAGTGACTAAACGTGTATGAGGACCACAAGTACATGAGGGTTTTCCTCTAGACGCCAGGCAAGAATCAGTTCTGCAGCAGACACCATCCAATTCAGTCCAGTTCAGCTCTGACACTAGCATCAGATCCCACAGGTTGAGAGTGTGGTCCCCAAGATGGGCCCTCCCCCACTTCGGATGCCACTCATAAGTCCCGAGTTGTTTTTCCCTGCTTCTGACCCACCAGTGCTTTCCACGAACCCCTACTCAGGCTTGATTAGTTCTCCAGAGCAGCTCAGACTCAGAGAAACACTCAGGTCTATAGTTTACTGTGAAGGATATGTTAAAGGTTATGAGTAAAAAGTCAGATGAGGACGCTGGGTGTATGGTACCTGTGCTCAAAGTCCCAACAGGATGGAGGAATGGAGGAGGAGGGACTGTGGTGTGACTATGCCTCATGGAGGGGCTGCTTTCTCTCTATCCTCTCTCTGTTTCTCTAGCAAGTGCACACGCACCCTTGCAAATTTAAAAAAAAAAATCAGGGAAGAGATGTGTAGGGCAAGGTATGTGAGGCGGGTTTGCAGCCTTCATGCCCTCTCCAGGGGTGCCGCCCTCCAGGAACCTCTGTGTGCTCAGCCATCTGGAGGCTCCCCAGCACTCTTTGGGGGGTGGGGGTGGTTATGGAGACTTCATTGATAGCACAACTGACCACTGGTGATCAGCCTAACCTCCAGCCCCTCCCCATTCCCCAGAGGTTAGGGGTGGGGGCTAGAAGTCCTAAATGGCTGATCCTGCCTTAACCTTTCTGTGACCAGCCCCCACCGCAGAGCTGCCAAGGGGCTGCCGGGTGATGAGAATACAAAAAGACACTTATTCAGGGGTTGTATGCCAGGAAATAGGGCTGAAGACCAAACACATATTTCACAATATCAAGTTCCAAACCCAAAGTCACTCACTAGCACTAGTCTGATTAAAAGCATCACACGATTCAAAAAATAGTCTAATTATCTTTCAGGTAAATGACACTCACTGCCCACCATTCCTTCATAACTTCTCTCATCTCTGCAGTAGGAATTTGTAAGGAAATATGTGAAAATCAAAACTACAGGAGCAGTTGAGTTTACAGAAATGCTAAGGGAATGTAAAGTGACTTGAAGAACAGATGTGCTTAAAATATGACAAATGCTACTTTTTAACCAAAAGTAGCATTATATTTTAGAGAGGACAAAATATGATGTTCTGGGGTTAGCAGATGGTATAGCAATTATGTTGTTGAACTCCCACATGGCTAACCGTGGCTTAAGTCCTAGACCCGGTAGCTTGAAACTCACACTAGGTGCATATGCATGTGTGCCCAAGTTCCCTGGAGGAGAATGGAGGAGAAAGAATTGTGGCATGGCCATCCCCCCTGGAAGGTGATTTCTCACTACTCCCCTTACTGTCTCTGTCTTTCTCTCTAGCAAGCACATGCACCCTAAAGCAAAAACCTCTTAAAAAAAAAAAAAAAAGATGTTCTAGGAAATGCCTTTCACCAAAAGAGCAGAGAAATGTGGCTTGGTAGTGCACAATTCTTAGAACATGTTTTTGCTGGACACAAATTAGCCTATATTTTATGTTTTTTTTTAATTGCCAGAAGCCATGTGTGTTTGCCAGAGAGAGACAGAAAGAGAGGCAAAAAGCCCTCCCTAACAGGGCATGGCCACACCACAATCCCTTCTCCATTTTTCCATCCTGTTGGATATGGGGCATGCACATTCATGTACCTGGCACATTTTTCAAGCCAACAAGGCCAGGAGTCAAACCATTGTTAGCTATGTAGGATGTGGCTCCCTTAACCACTGGGCTGCAAGGCTGGCCCCAGCATGTATTTTATCTTTACTTTTCTTTTTAAAAAGTAGGGTTATGTGGCGTGAAAGGTTCATTATTGTGACAAAAGATTATAGAGAATCTATTATATGCTAAGCTTCTTGGAACAGAACCATATAATCTTTTTAGTATCTGACCCTGCCAGAAATATCCCAACACCTATGCTCATAGTAGAAATTAATAAAACTAAATCTAAAAGAGGGTTGAAGCATAAGTGAAATAAACGTTATTTACCTGAGCTAGGGCTTGGGATGAATCTCCGGGAGAGCAAACTCTGATTTCTCAGACATGTGCTCCTCAACGTGGTGATGGAGAAAGCTGGTTTATATAACAAAGAGAAGGACAAGAAGAAGGAGGTTACATGCTGTTTGTCAAGAGTTTACACTGGTTCACTTAAAATAATGCAGGTAACGGATTGGCTAAACCTTATTCTTGACATCATGAACTTGAGAACACTGGGAAGAAAGGATGAGGTCACACTGCAAAATCCAATACATCACAGTTCATTAACTTTAAGTTAAACGTGCCTTTGGACAATCCTCCTGATGGATGCCAGGCATAACCCAAGTCTCAGACTCATGCTTTACCAAGTACTTACTAATCTAAATCGACCTTCTATGTCATGGACTGCTTTGGACTGGACTGCTGTCCTTCCACAAAGCCTTGATGAATGAATGAAAAATTTGCTGGTTGAATAAATGTCTGGTCTCTCACACTTGAGACATTTGTTCTTTGTAGGAGATTCAGTTGAGCTGAGTTTTCCAGGCTCTGGTTTGACTCAGTCCCTTCCTTTCTCATAGTCAGCCAAGCCTTCTTCTCATCATGAACCTCTTTCTGACTACTCAGCCAGCCACACCCTTTGGCTTCCTCCAGCTGCTGGAAGGAGGTTCCACTCTCACTGTGACTTAGCTCTTTTCCACTGCTTGTTTGATTTGCTGTTTGTTGAAAAGATCTGTTTGTGTATGTCAAGAAAGGCTTTCCAGGAAGTGTTGGAATTATGGCTTGGTAAGATGCCTCCTAGACATCTAAAGCAGAATACCACCGTATTTAAAAAAATAAATAAATAGGGGGCCAGCAGTTAGCGTAATGGCTATGTCACTGGATTCCCATGTAGTCGACTGCGGTTCACGTACCGGACCTGGTGGCTTAGAACTCACACCGGCCGCGTGTGCGTGCGTGCCTAAGATCCCGAGAGGAGAATGGAGGAGAAGGGATTGCGGCCTGGCCATCCCCCCTGGGGGGTGATTTCTCGCTTTCTGTCTCTCTGTCTCTCTCTGTCGGTCTGGCGAGCGCACGCGCCCTATAGCAAAAACCTCTCCAAAAATAAAATAAAATAAAATAAAATAAAATAAAATAAAATAAAATAAAATAAAATAAAATAAAAGGTGAATAGGATATCCCTTGATTAAAATAAGCATTAAATTTAAAACTGGCTGATAAAACATTTCATACCGTAGTTTAAATGGAAGTATCAGTGTTGTCTTTGAAGGGTAAAGAGGTAATCAGCTTGTGGTTATACACATAAGAGGATGTGTGAGTTAGTGGGGCCTGGGCTGCCCAGCCCGTGAATCTTGTGGAACGACTACCCCTGAAGCAGATGGCAGCCCAATGTTTAAACATCTGGTTTCTGCCAACATGGTTATGCTCCTCTGCTCCTTTGCACCTGGCTGTCCTCACCCGATGTTACAGGACACCCTCAACTCCCAGCAGGCTACCGATGCCACAGAGCGCGTGCCCTTGCCCTTGCAATGTCCGGAAGCCACTACCTGAGGATCTGCGTTTGTCTGGATGCACTCAGAACCCCCTACACACACCCTTCACTGTCCTTGCTGACTGCCTGGAGAGAGAATATGCTTTAACACTCCTCCTGCTGGCCAGAGGTCCCTCACGCATTCGTTTCCTGGGGTCCCCATGACAAAGAACACAAATTTGGTAGACTGAAACTACAGAAACCCATTCTCACAATTTGGGAGAGCAAAAGTTCAAAACCAAACTGCCAGCTGATTTTGGGCTGATTAATGGGTCCTCCAAGAGTCAGAATCTCTGAGGCAGAATCTGATCCACACCTTGCTCCTAGCTTCTGGCAATTTCCACAAACGTGGCCTTTGTTGGCTTATCAATGCGGCACTCCAGTCTCTGCCTCTGCAGTTACGTGTTGCTCTCTGTATCTTCACGTGGCCTTTTGAGAAGGACACCGATGACTGAATTAAGGGTCCTCCTTATTCCCACATGTCCTCCCCTTAACTTCTTACATGGCATCTGCAAAAAGCCAATTTTCAAATAAGGCACATTCTGAGATTCTCGTGGACAGGAATTTGGTTGAGAGGCACTCTTCAAGTCCATCTGCCTCCTTCCTTCCTGGCTTACTAGAGCACAAGTACTCAGGGTACTCAGCTTTGTTCGAGACCTGACCTGAGCATATAAATCTGTGTGTGTGTGTGTGTGTGTGTGTGTGTGTGTGTGTGAAGGCTGCTAGCTTTCTATCATTTGAATGCACATTTAAGCGCGGCAGCTCAGAGAAAATAACATGCAGATACATTGCAAAGCTTGCCTGGTGGAATCCTAACGACAGTAGTTACCACACGCTGGGCAGCCATCTTGTGCAGGCTTATCACCAACCCAAAGTAAAACGATAAAAGTGGACCCTTGGTGGCCACGAACTGTCTGTCAGGGCCTCTGTCCATTGTTCCACATGCCATATCTCACTCAGTCCTCATGACAATTCTGTAAAGTAAGTGCTATTAATGTTACCCTCATTTTACAGATGAAGAAATTAAGGCTTGCAGAAGTTAGGTCATTTATCAATGGTAACAATATTTTTAAGTGAATGTCAGAGTCCAGAGATTGAACTTCAATGTGTGTTTCTGCAATAAGGCATGTGCACTCACCAGGGAGATACAGGATGAGAGGGAAATGAGAAGTCACCCCCAGGGATAAAGGCCATACCGCAATCTCTTCTCCTCTCAGGATTTGGGGCATGCACACACAAAATCCCACTGTTTCTAGGACTCAAACCGCAGTCAGCCATGTGGGGTTCAGTGACTGAACCTCTACACCACCTACTAGTCCCCAGAGATTGAACTTGTAAGCACTATTCAGTGTGGTCTCCGTATAAGAAAGACTTTTTCTTCTCCATTTTGCAGATGAGAAAAAGGTGGGCACACAAAAAGAAATCATTTGCCTGCAATGTCATGGCCCATAAATCTGAAATACAAATCCTGTTCTGTTTTCCCTTACTTACTTACTTACTTACTTACTTACAGGATCTCATTGCATTGCGATCCTCCTGTCTCAGCTTCCCATCTAGGACTGCAGGCATGAGTCACCAG